ATCATCTCCATCTCCCATACGTGTCCTGACCTTTTTAACATCTTCCCCTTCCTGCTGCAAGTTTTCTTCAAGCCTCTTCCACAGTTTAACAGCCAAATCAATTTTCTGCCTTGCCATTAGATGCATAATTGAACTCTTTTTCCCCCACTTGGGGAAATTTTTTGGGGTTACTGAAAATTTACATTGCTCTCCATTAACTTTATATTTTTTTGGCAACACTGGTCAGATCTTTGCCAGTGGCACCTGTGTATTTTAGTCTGATGTTGGTAAGGAGGCTCCTTTAAAGACTCCCACTGTGGATGCTGAGTGTACTGGCATTTTCATCCTAAGGGGCTGTCCTGGTGTGAAAAAGTGCCTTTTTTTTGCTTTTCTAAAAGTCTTTTTCCCTCTAATCTGACCGTTTGGGTCAGCTGTAGCAGTTATTGTAACCACCGGGGTTTCATTGTCTCTCCATTAATTTCTTTTACAGAAAGGGACTCCAGGTGCTCTCTTCCCCTCCCCACTAATTGAAGTAGCTGTCCCTGTAGCCTGTGGCTCTTTGCTGCTCCTCAGCATTGGGCTCATATTCATGATTCTCACGGCAAGGAAGAGGCGCCAGTCCGAGGGGACCTACAGCCCGAGCCAGCAGGAGGTGGCAGGAGCTCGGCTGGAGATGGACAGTGTGCTAAAGGTGCCACCCGAAGAGCGGCTAATTTAGGCCCTGCCGGGACAAGGAGATGCACCTGCAAGGTCTGCTCGGACCTTGAGCTCTTCCCAGCATTGCAGCAGCAGATCCACCCCATCCCAGTTTCCTTAAGGCCCGGGCATCACGACGTGGACGTTCCGTACGAGGCAGCCGCTGCCTGAGGGAGCTGCCCCGGCCACCCCGGGGCTCCCAGGGAGCCTCTGCCCTCCCTCCTGCCCGGCCCTGGGCACGGGGCAGGTGCTGGAGTTGCTCTGGCTCCATCCACTGCCAGGCAGGGGTGGCCCCGTTCAATCTGCTTCCCAAGGCAGGGAGGAAGGAGCCCTGGGCAGGCTCAGCTCTGGGCCCCGCTCAGGAGCTGTGGGGAGTGGGTTTGTGGAACTGCCTTTGCCAACAGCTGAGAAACACTCCCAACTCTTTCAGCTCAGGTGTGTGAGGTTCTCAGTCTTCAACAGCAACAGCAGCTGTGACCTCCTGCCCTGTGACAGCCCCCGTGTTACAGGGAATTGTCAGGAATTACAGCAGTCCTTGTACAAATCCATGTGGGATGACGTGGTGCTGTTAGACATTCCCACGGTACCGTGCAGGGAAGGTGCAGGCAGCGCTCCGGGGCCTTGGGCAGTGCTGGAGCTGCCACGTGCTGGACTCGGGGGGGGCCGGGGGGTGGCAGGAAAAGGGTCACCAGCCTCCCCTGCATTCCTTGGGCCCTGTGTGACAGGAGGGGACAGGGAAGGGGGCAGCTCCTGGCCTGCAGAGCTGTCGGTGCAGCTGCAAGGGAGGTGCTGGGCCTGGGGCTGAGGGCGGTGAGAGGCCGTGAGGGGAAGCTCTGAGTAACTCCCTGTTCTACCACAGCAGCGAGTGTGGGCTCACCTCAGCCACTCCTCCGTGGTGGGAGCCGTGGGGGCGGCGGGGGCTGCCCTGCTCCTGGTGGTGTTGGCAGCCACGGCCATCGCCATGAAGAGGAGGAGAGCGACGCAGGGCACCTACAGCCCCAGCCGGCAGGAGAAGGACGGGGCTCGAGTGGAAATGTGGAACGTCATCAAGATGCCCCCGACAGAGCGGCTCATCTGAGCCCGGGTCACCACGGCCGTGTCTCCTGTGAGTCCCTGGGAGCTGCTGCAGCCCCTCTGTGTCTGCAGGACAGGCCTGGCTCCAAAGCTGCTCCCCCGCTGCGCCTGCTCCCACTGCAGCTCATCCCACACACAGCAAGGGTTAAACTGCTCGGGGCAGGAGCAGCAGGGGGAGGAAACGACCCTTTGTGGAGGGGCTGGGGAGGAGAGGGTGGGAGGGGACCCAGACCCAGGGACAGAAGCTGGTGCTGTCACAGCCAGGGCCCCTGGGCTCCCACGGGCACCGGGGGTCAGAGCCACAGGGGCTGTCACTGCCCTGCAGGCAACAGAAAAAACACCCTACAAGTAAGTGAGGCAGGTCCAGCTAATGGGGATTGAACCACTGCATTCAGAAATAATGTGAATAATATGGTTGTTTCAAAAATCATGTGCCTGTGGCTCTTCTGCAAGGCTAAGCCAGGTGAGTGAGTGGTGGGAAATCCTTCCCAGAGCTGCTGCTGCCCCTCCCTGTCTGGGCACTCCCTGGCTGTACATCCCACTGTGCTGGACAGGGCTGCTGGAGCTTTCCTGGAGACCAGACCAAACCACAGGAGTATCTGAAGTGCCTTTCTGAGCCTCAGTTGCCAGTTACAGTTTAACTTTGTGAAAGGAGGATGTTTCTGTGTAGAACAACTGAGCATCAAGTAGTACCTGCTGGGTGAGGAGGGGAGAAGGAAATAGTTGTAGATCCGACCTCTGTGGACAGACAGTTTGGGCTTGTCAGTACAGGGGAGTGGTGCTTAGTGAGCCAAACTAGTGCCCTTTGACCCAACCAGGGTTGGTGTTGTAGTGACACAACATTCACCTTCCACTGCCCCGAGAAGGGCTTTGATTCTGTGGCTTCTCCTGTGTTACTGCTTTAGCTGCTGAATGTGCTTTTCTTCTTCATATAAAACACGTGACAGAGCCTGTGGCAGGAAATGCAGCAGAGCAGGACAGGTGAGGTCTGAAGTCAGTAGTGTTTCAGGATAATCACAGCAACTATCAATGAAGAATATTTTAGAATACGGTGTCTGCTTTTTAATCTCAAAAATACTGTTAGCAAGCAGGGTGGGAACCTGCCCACTGTAGCTCGTTGCCACCAGAAGAAAAGGCTGATTATTCTGGTACACTTTTGAGTTTATTTATTTTTTTTACTTTGACTGTAAATGTTTCTAGTTCCAAGCAAAGGGAAGAGCACAGAACTACTGACCAGGTGTGCATGTTTAAGAACAGGTGTGTCTGCTAAGAACAGGTCTCTGCACTGAGGCAGCTGCTGAGAGAAGAATGAAAATGTTTGAAAATAATGAGTGGGAGATGATATTTTGTCTCTAAGCTCATGTTCCCTCTGATACTGGGGAGGAGTTGGAAGAACGAGTGGTGATCCCACCCGGCTGTGGTTGGGAAGCAGCTGGATGTGGCAGTGCCAGAGATGCCCTGACTGCCCCTGGGAGCTGGGTCCTGCCTGGATTTATGTACTGGCAGTGATGCTGCTGTCACTGCCCACGGGACTGGTTTGCTCTGTGCTTCCTCCAGCTCTGCTCAGGGAGCCCCAGTACCCTCTGAGAGCAGAGACAGGGCCCTGTCCCAGCCCCCTGTGCAGTGGGATGTGGGGAGGGGTGAGGGGGTGTCCCAGCAGTGTCTGTGCTCCAGCAGAGCCCTCCTGGGGCAGCAGCACTGAGGGAGCCCGGGCGGGGCTGGGCACAAACAGGAGCTGCCCTCGGTCCCAGGGTGTCCCCAGGTCAGGGCAGGGGGTCACTGGCACAGCCCTGGGGTCCCCTGTGCTGGAGGCAAAGGCTGCTGTGGTGTCTCCAGCCCATCCCGAGCTGGAATGACCCAGGGCAGGCTCAGGGTCTGGGGCTCCAGGACAGGTCCTGCTGCTCCACCCCTCAGGTGGGGTTCAAACCACAGGAAAACCAGGAGCAGGGGCTGAAAGAACCCCTGTTCCTCCAGGTGTTTTGGGAACACCAGCCCTGTGTTCTCAGAGCTCACTGAGCTACTGCAAGGACAGGGCACAAAGCCCAGCCCAGGCTCTGTCTGTGCCAGGCAGCAGCTCCTCAGGGCAGCAAAGCAGCTGCTTGGATTTCGAGCACCCAAAGCCAGTAGTAGCAAAGGTGTTAAAATCCTCTTGTCAGTGTCTTGAGCATTTCTGCAAAATAATTTATGGAGGGTTTGGGTTTTTTTCAATAATGAACTTTCTTTTGATATTTAATTTTTGAATATATTTTTTCACAAAATTGGACTTGCTGTAGTTAATGATCATGATCCTGATTTCTTTTGTAACTGTAAATTTTATAATTTGTATATAAATAGAATGTCCTTCAACAGAAATTTACAATAAAATTTGGTTAAAACCAGAGCTGGTTACACTGAGTTGTGGCTGTTTTTCCCCCAAACTCCAGAGAGGTTTGGTTTTCTTTTTTTTTTTTTTTTTTTTTTTTAAATAAACTTATTCCTAAGGGCAGCTAAAATAAGTGAAATGGTACCAAACACAAGGTGGGGGGAGGAACATGGACAGAGCTGAGGATAACATCTCTGATGAACAGTATCAGGAACACTTTTTATCCTGGATTTAGTGAAAACATCAAAAATCCTTCTATGTCAGCTCTAGAGCTGGTTCCCAGCCTGGCCTGCTCTCCCAGACAAGCACTGTTAGGAATGAACCATGTGAGGAATTCCTGAGTTTAAATAAGAAAAAAACCCCTCAATACTGCCCTAGGGAGAGTTTGATTTCTTTATTACAAGAAGCCCAAAAGTCTCCTGCTTGCAAACCCTATTCCAGAAGTGAGGAAAGTCCCAAACTCCTTGTCCTCAGAGGATCTCAGAGGTGCAAAATAAAGTGAGGGGTGATAAATGTCCTTTCAGTGCAATGTTAATTCTCTTCAGTGCCTCAAAACTGACTTAGAAAATGATCCAAGTGCTTGTCCAAAACTCAGTGGCATAAAATGATCCATAATATGGGCAAAGTAACCAGAGATGGAAATGAACTGCAGTGGGACTGAGTGGTTTTAAACATCTGTACTGGGCCTCCTCAGTGTCTGATCCCTGTGTGACATTAACAGTTCTAGCACAGAGCCTGTGAAGGCAGGACTGACTGTCCAGTGCCCATTCACATCCACCAGGAGCCAGAAAGTTTGATCATCCAGCTCAGAGCAAAGGAGCTCTGAAATTCCACACTGAATTATAGAACATTCATAGTCTGAACTGTATAAAATAAAATGGAACTGTTATCTTAGACTTTAAATATTTTACTATGCAATACTAAACCCATCTGTCTTCCAACACAAAAAGAAAATACAAATCCGAGGGAATGGCTTGTCAGAGGAACAGCACTGTACAGAAACAGAATATCCCTGGAATTCTGTGGTCTCTCCCAAGCCGGTGCCATTTCAGCTGTTGAGAATATTTTTCTTTTGTATTGCCCAGACCCGAATGCACTGACAGCCATTCCCATTCCCCAGAGTAAGAAAACTTCCAAGATTACATGAATAAAATAGATACACTGGAAATCAGGTAAAGCTTTACAAGGATTTCCCCACGTGTCCAAGGTGATTTCCTTTGGCCAAGGCTCCGTGGTGACGATTCCCTCTGCGAGTGACAGGTTTACACCCCAGTGTCCCAGACCCAGCCCAGGACAGCACCCCTGCAGGGAGGCAGGAGGAGCAGAGACAGCCCCGAGGGGTGCTGGGGGTGTCCCCAGAACTCCACTGGTGCAGAGGGGGCTCCCAACACCCAGCAGGACATTTCCTTCCCTTTCCCTTTCCATGCCCCAGGAGCAGCACACGGCAGGTCCAGCCCGGGGGGCTGAGGGGGCCCAGCCCTGCAGGGCAGAGCTGGGGGTGTCCTGCTGCCCCCTTGGATCCCCCTCTGGACACCCCCAGCACCACCTCCCGCTGCACCTGGGGAGCTGGGAACTCTGGGACCCCCCTTCTGCCCTGTCTTTGTTTGTAATAATCAAGTAAGATATTGTTACATTCCATTCCTATACTGCCATTTATATTATTGACAGATAATATTAAGATACACATATATAAGAACTAGAATACTCTTTATGGCCTCTATTTTCTGATGTATTAAACAAAAACAAACTCAAAAACCAAAAAACAATTGCTGGTGTTTCCAGTTTCCCAACAGATGCAGGACCAAACCCTGAGCAGCTGCTCTGTGCTGTGGTTTTGAGGCACCAGGGCCTTGGGACACCTGTGCCCCAGCAAGGCCCGGAGTCAAAGCCCCATCCCACAGCACCACCTAAAGAGTTTCTGGGTTCCAAGACAGGACAAAGCAGAGCCTGATGGATTAATTTAGTGCAGCCCACAAGCCAGGTTTGTTTGCTGCACTTTGCCTGTGGAAACAAAATAATATTGTCTTTCTGTGTGTAGTGCCAGAAAAACTGAGGGCCATTCCCAGAGGCAGGAATGAGCCCCAGCACAGTGTGTGCCGTGTGCTAAGGACTCAAAACACAGGGAAGGAGTAACTCCTGCATCAGTAGAACTGCCTGAAAAGCTGTGTGTGGAAAACCCAACCCAGCCCCCTTCCCCTCACGCTTTGGTCAGTGCAGGAATCCCAGGATTTGTGGTGGGGAGGGAGGGAGCCATGGCAGGGACAGGGACAACGGGGACTCTGGGCAAAACCCCCTCGTGTGTGGGTTGCAGCTCAGTGATGGTCCTGCAGCTGTCCTGGTTCAGCCTTCTGTAAAAGAAATGCTTGGTTTATGCTGGCTCAAAAAAACCAAAACCCCCTCTGTCACTCCCAAAGGGACACCAAGGCCATCGAGTGTCACTCAAAGGTTTCCCATCGCTTTCTGAGCTGTTCCACCTTACCTGGCGTGGGTGACACGTCCTGCTTGGTCTTTTTTAACAGATCTTCAAACGGATCTTTTGTCTCCTCAGACTTTGAGGCCAGTAACACTGCCTCCAAGCCCTTGGTTGGCCTGGCAGGGAGCAGAGGGGGTTCATTGGCCAGGAGAGCCAGAGCCTGTTTGGGATCTACCTTGGTGCTGGCCTGGCCCACCTGTAACGTTGGGGGCTTGGGGGGCCCGCTGGGACATGCTGCCTGCAGGGAACTGGCTGCAGAAGGGCTCTGCAGGAGCAGGGAACCAGCTGCTGGCACAGCTGGAGCCTGGCTGAACAGGTTTGGCATGGACAGAGTTGACAGGTTGGGTTGAGGTCTCTGTGGTGGGTAGAAGCCACCGGGTGTTATGAAGCTGGAGCTGTAGGCGTGACCTAAGGAGGGGGTGAAGGAGCCCCTCGGGGGTCTGACCAGGGACACTGGAAGGGCTGCTGGCAGTGTCTGGGTGAAGGGGTTAGGGGATGCCTGTAGAAAAGGTGGTGGGGCTGGGGAAGGGTAGCCCAGGGGCTGGACAAATGGTGCAGCTGGAGGAGGCACAATGTCACTTCCCCCCAGGCCAAAGGCAGCCGTGGGGGCCGGGCTGTGCAGGCTGGGGGGCCCTCGGGGGGCCCGGCCCTCCCAGGTCGCCGTTCGCAGCGGGTCCAGCAGGTCCAGCAGGAAGTCACTGTCATTACCTGCACCTTCTGCCTGCACCTTGACAGGCTGGAGCATCTCGGCAGCGCTGCCAGCACTGGACAGCAGCTGAGATGGGTGAGGGCAGTAATTCCCAGACTGCTGCATTTCAGGCTCTAAGGACACGTGTCCCGCTCCAAAGGGCTCTGGGATAAGATCAGAGACCCGGCTGGGAGTGGGGAGGGTCTCCCCCGACCCCGCTCCAGTCTGGTGCTTGGACGCCCGGGGTGCTGGTGGTGGTGGCACTATCCCCAGCTCCGGAGTCTTTCTTCCCTGTGGCCTCGGAATGGTGATGTTCCCTTGAATGGCAGGATTGGATTCATCCTTCTCTGCAGGAGCCAGACCACTGTCCCTGCTCCGGGGTCTCCTGGTGACTGGGGGCACGTTTCCCAGGGCACTCAGGGACCTTTCTGGTGAGTTCTGGGAATACTTGGTGGGAATGGCCATATCATCATGGCCCATACTCCACAGCTTGTTGTAGGGGTGGGACAGCTTCATGGTTGGCACAATCCTGCTCCTCTCGGACACACCCAGGTCCATTCTCTGCAAGAAAGCATCAGAAATGTAACTTTGACTGCCCAGAACACATATTATTATTATTATTATTATTATTATTACTACTACTATTGGGATCTACCCAACAACCCAAAGAGGTTCCCCACAGGCTGAGGGAGGCTCAGCCCGAGCTGTGCAGCCCCAGCCCCCAGACCTGGTAGTCGAAGGTGCAGCGCTGCTCCACCTCCTCCGTGGGCACCCGCAGGTCTTCCAGGCTCTTGGCTTGGCTCAGAGGCTGAGGCTGGGACTCCACCTCCAGGTTTGGGAAGATGTCCTGCAGGAGGTTGATGTCGGTGGCCGTGCTGGCGAGCAGGGGGCTGGGGGGCAGCGGCTCCCGGGGTCTCTCGGGGCTGCCCCGCTCCGGTTCCTCCCCATCCGCGCTGTCCGACTCCTTGAGGGCGCGGTACGGCTGGGGCCTGGCAGGGACAGACACCACGGTGGAAAGGGCCATCTTTGTGATGTTTTTGTGATAAACACTATTTCCTAAGGAGCTGGGTGAGTTACAGAAAGCTCCTGGTGCCCGATCCAGCACCGAGAGCCCACGCAGGGCAGGATGTGAGCAGTGCCCATGGGCAGGGGGACATGCAGAGGGGCCCTGGCACCCGGGGTGTTCAGGCAGGCAAGGCCCGGTGGAAGTGCTCAGAGGGAAGCTGTGCTCATGCAGGTACAGCCAGGCTGGGCAGGGAGCTCTGGGGGCAGGGATAACGGGCTGCCAGCTCTCCATGCTCCCCTCAGGCCGGGCATGGCCCGTGTTTGCAGGCACTTCCAGCCTCCTGCTCTGAGCCAACTCAGCACACAACATAATTCAGTGCTTTCCTGCAATAATTGGGAACACTGTGCAGAGTTCCAATGATTTCACTGGTGTCATCTTATCAAGAAACAGCACAATCCATTATGGAGACACCTTCTTTACATTTCCAGCCCAGGCTGAGTTAGCAGGATGCTTCTCTTGCACAAACCTCAGCAAAAAAAATGAACCAGCACATTTGCATTTTGGTGTGTACAGAGAACAGCAGCACAATGTGCATCCAATTAATAACAGCAAGTGCCACACATGGCTGTGGGGATTGGCACTTGACTGGCAGCTGGTTGTACTGTGGCATTTAAACAAGCTTTCAATTAAAAGAAAATATTTGTGAGACCTGCAAAAACAGATCCTATGGAAGAACCCTCCTCCTCTTTCCATATTTTATCATAATGCATCTATATGATGCAAATTCCCAAAGAGCCCAGCTCACTGCACTCCCAGCACACACACAGCAGGCACAGCCAACCCCAGGAGTGTGACACTGCAGGTACAAGGCAGACACTGATGGGACATGGTCTTGGGAAGGGGGATCTCAAACCCTGGTCGTGCCTTCAGTCTCACCTCCTGTGTGCTCTGCACTGAGTCACTCTGCAAACCCCCTGAGCAATGTTCTGCAATCAGGACTGGCCTCCTCCACCCCAAACATGATAGGGGAACATTTTTGTGACCCTTTACTACTGAACCTCCCCATCCCACCCACCTGCAGTCCCGTCCCTTCCCGTCAGCCTGACCCTGCCCTCTGCAGCACACACTGGATGTCAGGACCTGCAGACCCCCTGTCACACTGGAGCCTCCTCCTCCAGCCTGGTCCAAGCAGCTGTGGCCAGCAGGCTCCAGCTGCTCCAGTGGGACCAGGATCCACCTCCCAGCTCCTGAACTGTCTGGATCTGGCACCACACGGATTTCTGAGGCAGCGGCTCACAGTGCCCTGGAACCTCTTCTGCAGGTTCTGGTCAAGCCAGTGACTGCATTTGTTAAAATGTACCACAAGTTCAAATTCAAAAGGTAGATACAAACAAACCCAACAAACCTCCTGCTCCCTGTGTAATTGTCAGACTGTACCCACTGCCCTGGGAGGACACGTGCACCGGGAGTCCCCAGGGATGTGGGACCTGACAGACCAGAGGCTGGGATCAAACACTGGAGAAGGTTGGTTACTGCCCTGAACCAGGGCTCACAGGACAACCCAAAACCACTGGAACAAGGCTCACAGGACAACCCAAAATCACAGTAGCACCGCACAAGGAAGAGTGGCAGAAGGTCTGGACAGGAGCACGAGCAGTACATTGGAACAAAGGACAAATGGCAGGGGGACATCCCACAGAGCTCCAGTCTGTGTAAGCCCGCAGGCTGTGGGCTGCTGCAGTGGTTCATGCAGGAGGATGCTTTTGCATGCTGCTCAACATCAAAACAAACAAGCAGGAGAGATGCTGGACATTCACCAAGCACTGTAAAGAGACCACAGGAGCAATCCCAAAATGCCAGTACAGGAGCAGGCACCCTGAGCAATGCAAAACCCACTGTTGGCAGCCAGCACGAGCACAACCAAAGAGTAAAGGATAGACCATTCAAAAGGAGCAGAGAAGAAAAAGTTTTCAGAGAAGCCAGAGACAGGATCCTCTTCCTGCTGAAACTCATCATCAGAGGAGTCCTCCGAGAGGAAGACAGTATAGTGTCGCATGGGCTTTACCAGGCTGGGGACAGGAAGAGAGAAGGCAGTTACCGAGTGCTGCTGAGGAGAGACCCCGAGAGGTGGAGGCTCCAAACCCCCTGAACTGGCTGCCTGCACTGCCCAGGGCTCACAGGGGCACAAACCACAGCTCTGCTACACAGGCCAGGGTGCCATGAGGTCGGGAAGGGCCCTGTGAGCTGCAGTCACAGCACAGTGCAGGGATGCCACACAAACCCATCTCCCACCACATTCCCTGGTGTTGGGCATCTCCTTGTTCTTCAGACACACGGCTCGGAGCTCTGGCTGCAAGCAAACATCCATCACATCTCCCTGCTGCTCCACAGACACTTCCACTGGCATTAGCCTGGCACACACAGGAGCTGACTCCAGGGTATCAGTTCCTACCTGTACCTGCTTTTCATACTAAAACTGCTTCACTCTAGAATAAAATCAAAACTGCCCAAGGATGGATATGAAACATCCAGTACACGTTTCTTTCCTCTCTGGTAAACTGAAAATCATTTCTTAAAGATTAGCTCAGAAAAGGAGAAGTTGGACACTGCCACTGCCAATGAGTGTTTATTCACAATCAGGACAGAGCTAATTAATACAAAGTCTCTAACAGGTGGCAGTGGCTGCAGCTGATGGTGTTAAATCAGCCTGCCTTACTCCATGGAAGCTGGGGCATTGCTGTGCTTTCCCCTCTCCTGCTGTAACAGGTATCCCGGGGAAGGGAGGTGAGGCCACTGCAGTGGGAACCATTTGTCAGAAATTTTTTTCATTTCTTTTTTCTTTTTAGAAAGTGACTATGATTAAAAAAAAAAATCAATTTACATTAATAAAAGGCTCTACCTAAAATAAAGCAGAAAGCAGAGACACCTAATAAATACTCGTGTTTTGAACTCAGATACACGTCTTTGTGTCTTAGGAGAGCAAGCTACCATTTAACATGAGTCCAGAAAACCTGATGTGATGTCCAGAAATCCAGAGTGGCACTGAATTTCTACATATATATATATATATATATATACAGGAAAAGGGAGAGGGAAGGGGAAGAGGGAAAGGGGAAGAGGGAAAGGGGAAGTGGAAGGGAAAGGGGAAGGGGGAGGTAAAGGGGAAGGGAGAAGGGGAAGGGAGAAGGGGAAGGGCCGTGTCCGTGCCCCAGCGCAGGTCCCCGCCCCGCACAGCCCGGGTGTCCCTGTGGCGCTGGCGGTGACAGCGCTGACAGCGCCCGCTCCCGTAAATACCGTGTCAGAGCGGCGCCGGCTCCGCCGCCACGGCGGGCTCCTGCTTAATGAGGGAGATCTGCATCTCGGCAGCTTTTTTCATGTGTCAGGATGCATGGACAAATCAGCGGCACATCACGCTGGCCAAAAATGAAATGCTGACAAATGTAGATATTTCAAATTTAATTGACACCTAAATGTACTTGAGATAGAAAAAAAAATACGTAGAGAAAACGGGAGTGCAGGATATGGGAATTAATAAGGAGAATTCTGCGATAATTTTAAAGGATGTTTCAGTTATGTGAAAATTAAATTTGTGTATTTGATTACAGTGTTGCTCTTTCCTGAGGACAGGCATTATGGCACAAAGGGGTCTATGGACTTGACATTATCCTCCTAAAAAGGGTTCCCCAAATCTAAGGGAGAATAATTTTTTATTGGTATAGTTTTTTAAAGAACAGCCATACAGGAGCTCTAGGGAATTAAGGAATTTGTGCTTCTTAGTGAAATGCAGAGAATGAGGGATTTGGATGCGTGGGTTTTTTCCTGCTGGTATGAAATAGGAGACTTGGGACTGAGGGGATTACCTGGGAACTCTTCCACCTGAACACAGCTCAGACCTACCCTTGGAATCCCTTCCTGCAGATCCTGAACACTATCAGAGCTCCTTGCTTGCAGTGAGGCCATGGAAAACCTTCCCATCCCCAGATGCTGTGTGGGGGAGCCCTGAGAGCCTGGTTACACCTGGAATTTAATGTGCCTCACGAGCCTGCACCATCCAGCACAGCACCACTGACTCCATCCCAAATCTGGGTGAGGCCCAGCACGGCCCTGCAGCCCGTTCTCCTGGACACAGGGAATGCAGCAGCTCCTGTGCCAGTGCCCAGGGCTGGGGCAGGGCCATAATGACCTGTCACAGCACCCCAGGGCCTCTGACACCCCGTAATTGGGAGCCCGACCCTCTGATTGCCCCGTTCCATTTCCTCCCGCTCCACAGGCCCTGGGAGACATCCCAGAGCACTCTGGAGAGCCTATTCCACAGCTAATAGGAAATCTTGCTGTGGTGTGAAAGGGAGCTCTCAGAAATCTGCCTATCTGCTGAAAATGCAACACCTTATTTCTGTGACCAGCTCATTTGTGTTTAAGGAGGCACAGCCCAGTGTCAGGGCTGCCCTGGCTGGTAATGCAGCATTTCCTGAGCTCTCATCTGCAAACTCTTCCTGTTACCTTAGAGCTAGAAAAGCTTTTTAAAAATTAGATTAAGGACAAATTTTTAAGAATCAAACATCACAAACCTCAAGTTACTGATACAATTCTAAAGAAATAAACTTTCTATTGAAATAGAAGAAAAAATCACTGACAATTCTGACTCTTCTAAACACACTGGTTTAACAACAGACATGAGCCATGATCTTGGGTGTTCTTTGCAGTCACTGCTCCTGCCCCACTCTACTTCAATTGAAGACTGATTAGAAAATGAGCACAGACACCCCCAAAACAATGCTTTCCTTTCATACATACTAAAAAAATTAACTCAGGTAACTAAAGACATAAATTTCCTCACCTCCAACGCTACCAGGTAACACAAGTGAAAATATATATTGTGGTGTAAAAATAGTATGGTTAAAATTCATGTTTCTGTTAATTTGTAGTCTGATGGATGCATGTTAGCAGTGAGCCCCCCTGGAATGACAGCAGCTTTGGAACCCAAAGTGCAGAACCCTCCAGATGAACACACAGAAATGTGACACTGATTCAATTATCCTCCACCTACACGCAGATCAAATAGTAAGGAAATGCTTTCAGTTTAAAAATCCCTGTCACCTCTGAGCAGGGCCAGCATGGGCCCCTTGCAGGCTCTGCATCTGCTCCACCAGAGGGCAACCAAATTCCACTGGAAAACGGCAAATAACTGCTGGAAAACGGCAAACAACGCTGAACAGAGACCGTTCAGCTCAGGTAAGAGCCAGGGCATCTCCCCACCTGGAGAGGCTGGGAAAAGCTGCCCCTGCTCTTCACTCTAGGGGGTGAGGGACACCCAACCAAAAGGCACAGTCCTTAAGCTCCCCAGATTCCCAGCTGAGGGGTGGAACCTCCTTACTGGGACCTTTAAGAACTGCAGCTAATGCCAGGCTGTGCCCAGCAGAACTTGGTGCTGGGACCTTCAGCTCTCATGAACAGCTGAGCAGCCACACCCCGGAGAACCCAACTGCAGCTCCCAAGTGCACACAGTGCAGCCTCCCCTGTGTCTGTCACACACAGTTCTGTCCCCTGGGCCGTTCTGGCAAGTCCAATACACCCAGTCTCTGCTCAGGGTCTCCCCTGATGGCCCATTGCTAACTCCTCAGGCACCCACACAGCACTGGGTGCTCTGTAAAAAGTCCTGGTATATGGAACATCTGTGAAACCAGCTGAAAAAGCCTCTCCAAGGTAACAGCACACACTGCTTGGACACACTAGACAGATGTTGGAGACCAACACGTTCTATCCAGGAGCACTTGGCTGCAGCAGCACAGCTGGTTTGGAATGTCACCCCTGTACTGTCACAGCTGAAGTGGTGATGAATTTGCTGGTACTGTGGCAGTCAGTGAAGCCCTCCCAGCCCTCAGCACAGAGCTCCTCACAGCCCTCCTGGTGCTGCCCTCTGCCAGCAGACACAGCCCTCTGTGCCATCACCCTGGAACAGGCAGGTCTGAACCTCCCAGGTACAGCCTGGCAAGCAGGCTGGGTCTGCAGGGCTGTGCCTGACAATGTCCTTCAAAGAAAAGTGTAAAACAAACCAACTCAGAGATGAACAAACCTCCAACACCCAAGAATCTCACTGACCACGCTGATGCCACTGTGTGTGACCTGGCAAACCAGGATTTTCTGATAAGCAAACTTTGGTTTCTTGCCTTTTCACACTTCCTCTACAATGTTCCAAAAATTTTAAAAATCCCATTTTTTGTTAAGTTAAAAAATAACTTTGATCTGCAGTATTTTTTAATGCCTCCTTCAGTGAGTGCCAGGGCAGCAAAGCACTTACTGTTCTGGGCTGGGAACCGAAGTCCTGCGTCCCTCTACTCCGATGTTGCTCTTGGGTCTCTTGACAACATGAGGCCTTGGGGGACGAACCTGTTACACACACACAGAGACCTCTGATCAAACACTTCAGCTGATCCAACACCAGACACAAATCCCAAACATGGATAATTTTAATTATTATTTATTGAGGGAGGAATTTTTTTTTTAATTTTTGTTTTGTTTTGTTTTGGTTTTTTTGTATTTTTCTTCCCAGGCAAATAAATCTCAAATTCTCCAGCCAGGAAAAAGCTATCAAATCGTGTGCAGTGCTCCTGCCCTGCACACCAGCATGCAGAGGTAGCAGCAGCATTATTGCATTGAATTTTCATTTCAAAGGAAATGGTGCACAGCAGATATGATAGAGAAATCCAGAGCTGTATTGCCACTATTTCTTAGGAAAAAGGGCTTATGAAAAGGTCAGATGTTAAGGTCTTGGAGATCAGTCCCCACACAAGGCTGCTCCTCTCTACAATAAAGACGGCTTAAGAATGTGAATTTATGGCAGGAATGGAAGGATTAAGTTTGTGGCAACTTCAACTGAACTTGCAACGTGGTGAAACATGGGGAAAAGAACAACAGAGCTAATTAGAGGAGCTGAGCTGTCAGAGCGCGGCAGAATGGCTCGGTGCCAACAAACAAAAGGAATGGGCTGGCAATCAGCAGGATCGATGAAGAATACTGCTTCATTAGGGCTGATAAAACAGGCAGAGACGAGAGAGGAGAGGGGGGAGAGAGGCAGGAGGGCCGGGGAGAGGGGAGCGCCACGGAGGAAGGGGGAAGGAGAGGGAGAAAGCAGCTGTTTAATTAAACGGGAGCTGGGAGCTGATGTGCAAAGCTGGGTGTCACCGGGCTGGGGACACTGTCACCTCTGGGGGTGTGCTGGGAGCAGGGACACAGAGCACAGTTTGGGGTGGCTCCGGGGGCCACCGGCCCAGGGCAGAGCAGGGTGACGTGCCAAGGGGGATTTAGGGCATTGTTCAGGGGGAACTGCAGGAAAAGCTGGGAATCAAGTCATTCCTTGCTGGATTTTGAGCCTCACATAGAAAAACAGGCAAGGTTAAATGCTTATCAAATGCAAAAGTATCAAAGAAATCCAATTACGTGAGCACACTGCCAAAAGAACAAAGGTAAACTCCCAGGGCAGAAGGGCTGAATGTGCTTATTACTGTCCCCATCAACATTAGGCATAATTATTATATTTTAACTTTTTCTAATTGAATAAAGTTTCCAAACAGCCACTGTTAGACCAAACAGATCTCCATTAATTATAAGCAACAACCGTCTCTCTTTCATAATACCACCACAGCTCATTTCCAAACCAGCAGAATGCAAAGAACATCTCTGTTCTGCTTCCTTAGCCTTTCTTTGGTGTGTTTTTGGCTTTATTATTAGCAGTGACTCATATTGCAAGCACCAGTGCCCATGGAGTCCTCCCTGCAGCAGTAAGAATTTCCCAGGAATTCTGCTCTTATGTGGCCCTAGTTGGAAGAGCAGAGGGACCTGGTGTCCTCCCTCAGTGCTTGTGCACAAGGCCAGGATCACTGACTTGCTGGTACCCACCTCTGGAATAGCTGCCAAGACTGAGAGAGGGGAAAAGCAGCTGCACAAAGTATTATTTACACACACACAAATGTGTTTCAACTATTAAAAGCCAAATAACAGTTCTGAACAACAACAAATTTATGTATATTTGGTACAAGCATATTTTTGGGAGTGATTATAATCATTTACATTTATCTTGAATTTCCTCTTGATGAATGAAGCCTTTCTGTTCCACTTATTGACACAGCCAGATGAATGCAACAGGAGCTTTCATTATTACATTTCCAACCTTTTATCAATCACATTGGGAGCAAAGACAGTTGAACCAAACACATCACAGGGAGGACTATTAATGCACTACAGCTGGGAGATTAAACAGTCTTAGCATGTAATAAATGTATAAATGTAATAAACCCGTGTCATAAATGACTCCATCTGAACAACACTGTTCAGCAGCTCTGGTGCAGAGGAATCACAACATGCCCTCATACACCTGCCAGCCATGGAACACGAGGGCACTGAAGCACCACAGGAACCCCACGGAACAGGGAACGTCTGATCCCGGTGGAACAACCTGGGGGGGTCTCCCATGGCAATCACATTTAACAGAACACACATAAACATAGTCAGTGCTCCTTTTCAAACACAGAAACAAGAAATCTTCAGAGCAAAAATCCATAGAAGTGCCTCTGTTAAGCTGGACACCCAGAGTTAAGGAGGAGGAGAAGAAACACATGCTACTGAAATGTAACACAGGAACATGCACCAGAGATCAAAAGTTAAAACACACACCCAAGTGCACTTGTTAACCAGTTCTCATCCAAAACATATTTTAACAAGTTTTAGCAAGACTAGATTTGAAAACTTGCATCTCTCTCTTTCTTATGAACATGTGTGTATGTGTAAGGAAGCAAGAAGTAAGATGATTTGGGGGAATTATATTCATGAAGCTGAAGTCCTGAATAGACATAAATATCTTCCAAGGCTGTTGCAAAAACCAACACCCCTCCTAAACTGATACCTGTTGCCTGCCCTACTACAAAAAATAAAAATTTGGTGCAGATCCAGCAGAGTCTCCAGTTTTAAAGCCATCTGGCAGAGTTCATAGACAACAACTGTCCTACAGGGAGTGTTTTGGGGCAAAACCTGCTGAAATAAGGTATCCCTGCCTAACACAGGACAGGTACTGCACTGCCAGTAATTTCTGTGCAGTCCTTCCACGGCAGAGTCCCTTCCCCTGGCCAACCTGCCATGCCTGTTTTACACTGGAATGACTCAGTGTATGTCCTCCACAGCGTGGTACCAGTGTCCTACTGCCCAAACATCCACCTGCTTTCTTCAACTCTGTCACACAGCTGTCCCGTGGAGAAGAATTAAGCATCCCAAAGTAATTTAAAGCATAACTTGCAGAGAATAAATATTTTCTCTTCAGACTTCTGCTTCCTTTCGTATTTGAGTTCAGTGCAAGTCTTCAAAAGCTCACTGGCTAAAAACTTCTGGCAGCCCAGCAGGGCTTTCTGGGTAAGCAATCCCCGCAGAGGTCAGAGGAGCCTGGCAGAGCAGCCCCGTTACCTGCAGAGCTGCAGGACTCCAGAGAGAAGCAGAGCCCCCCGGGTGCTGTGCTGAGAGAGAGTCAGGAGCACAGCTCACACGCGGCTTGTGCAGCTGGACAGTCCCAGGGCCAGGTTTAGTAGTGCTGGAGGAGGCAGCTCAGGCAGGGTTAAGCTGTGCAGGGAGACAAACCCCAGCTACTCACGGGCCGGGCCGAGCGCTGGATCCGGGGGGGCGGCGGCCGGGGCGGGCGGAGTCTGTGCTGCGGCGGCAAAGTGGAAAGTGCATTAAAGTCACCTGCAGGGAACACTCCCACCTCCTGGCACAGGCGGCACGAGCAGCTGACAGCACGGCCTTCACCTTCATACTCACCTCACGAAAGGCCCTTTTCCTTATTTGATTTTTCCAAAACAGTGACAAATCCGATGACCTGAGACCTGCCACGACAGGACAGGTCCCCACGTCTGCTGCTGACGTGGGCTGGACACAGCTGCTGTCACACCAAAGGCAGCAGGAGCAGCACTCCAGACCAGTCAGCCAAAATTTACTGAGACAACAAAGATGCTCAAGGGGGATTCGTGGCCCTCAAGGCCCAAATATTCTAGACTACATTTATGCCAACGGAGAGCAGGAAACTCAAAAACGCTTTCACTAAAACCTCAAGAGTGGTTTTTAGTGCTCGTGAAGGGTTATGGGAAAGGCCTCAAACCAGACATTTAAGAGCACGGGAAAAACTTTTCAGTTAAACTTTCCATACACCTGGAGGTGAGCACGTGCTCAGCTCCTGTCCTGGCTCGAGGTCAGAATGTACTGCCCAGATGACATGGCCTGGAACTCAGAACTACTTGTGCAAGCATCCCTTTAGCTCTGTGTAAGTGAAAATAAATACACTACAAATACCCAATGCATTTGTATTACAACAAACTACTCCTTTGCAGGTGACAATACTTTCATATCCTTATCCTGTCACTGCATTATTTTTTCCAGCTGAGATTTAGATATCACACATGATTAAGCTTTCATCTCTGATCAAAAAATAATTCTATGTGTTTCCACAATAAAGACATATACAAATGCTGCTCTGGGAAAAGATTAAAGGTGTAGAAACTTTTGTGTCTCTTGGACTTCTAAACAGGCATCGTGTTAACTCTCAGAACTGTGACCCCAGTGCTTGTAACAACACAGGCAAATCCAGCCCTCACACTCAGATTTATCTTACCCACTGAAGAGCTACCAGGAGCACAGTTTGTTTTGAGGCCTCGGATGTATTGCACTTCTGAGCCCTGAGGAGATCTGAACAGAAGAGTGAGCCAAGCTGCACATTCCCAGGGCAGTACGATGGCTTGGAGCAGTGCTGGGCAGCACAGAGCAGAGCGGGCAGGGGGCAGTGGGCACAACACCCTCAGTAACAGGGCTTCATTTCCAGCCTTGGTCTCACTGTCTGCCACCACAACGGGACAGGCAAGCGTGTTCCAACTCTGGGCACACCATATTTACTGGAAGAGCCACTGATTTGAAGTTAATTTGTTAATGCAGCAAAACACATTGATTCTGAAAGGTCAGTAGGTGAAGCCGTGTTGGAACATCAACTTAATTACCTGGGCTGTGAGGAGGCTGGGCAGGAACCAGCACAGGGCTACAGTGCTAAAAGCTGCTAAATTGCTGCTCTAGGTACTGTCCTAAATGTGTGTACTCTCGTTTTCTGTGAAGGGGAGAAATGTCTAAATTAGCACTTCCTCACCAGTAGCTGTTTACCAGATACCTTTTTCCTCTGGATATTTGCTTAATTGTCTTGTTCGAAATACTTCTAAAGCAACAGGACAGAAAATTTGCAGAAAGCCAATTTTATGGCTGCAGATCTGGCACTGGTTTACTAATTATCAGACAAGTGACTTAAGCTATGAGATACTGGAAGAAGAAAAATCTTGTATTCCTTTTTACACTATCAAAATACTACTTAAAAATTACAGATCCCACATCTCATAAAGTAGCTATTATATGCCCAGGGAACTTTCACAGCACGGCTATTTAGGTTTTTTATACTAAAGAAAACATTACAAAAAAGATCATTTTTGGTCTGTGAGGTAACAGCCTGTGAGCAGAGCATTATCTCAAACTAATTGTGGATGTCTTTTGAGAATTTTTTTTTTAAAGCAGTATTCAAAACAGAGCCTTTGTGAGTACATTAGAGGTGCTGGTTCATGTGCAGCAACAAGTGCAACCAGAGAGAAATGCATACAGGAAACACAGATGAAAACTGGTTTGTCAGTATGTGTAGACAGAAGCGTTTCTCAATTAGCAGTGAGGGGTGTTTCCAATGATTTCCAAAACAAAGCTTTTCTACATGAATATCCCACTTCCTTCTGAAATTCAGGACTAGTTTAAAAGCTGCTGGTGTGTTTTCAAGCCAATTAGACATGGGAGAGAGATGCCCTGTCCTGAATGTGCCCAGGCTCACACACATCAGGCTGCAGGAGATCTGCAGTGCTTTGGGACAACATGCTGGACCTCAACTGAACACTCAATTAAAAAAAAAAAGGGAGAAAATAACAACACTGAAAAATGTCTGGTACCTAAAAAGATTCAGTACAGAAAGCAGATGGAATCTACGAGGCAGCTGTTTTATTATCCATCCAGATCCCTGCACAGCACACTCTGCTTTTTACATACTCCCATATGTACAGCTCACAAACTGGGATGACAGGAACAGTGTCTGCTTTACAGCATATATTTTTAATTTACACTCTGAAACACTTCAACAGAAATCTGCTGGGTCCTGTGATAAAAATAATCTCCATGTTTTAAGGGATGCCTCATTCTTCAAGGCACATTTGTAGATTGGGGAGGTAGAACGAGTCTGGCAAAAACGTAGCAATGCCTAAAGCCAAAATCCTAAAACCACAGGTGCACTACTGTGGATTATTATTGTTGATAACTGATGCTATTCTAAAAACACATGGCTTAAATCATAAACTCCTGGGCTGTAGAGCTGAATGGTATCTTATTTCTTTTGTCTGTAATTACAGGAAAAAAAGGGGAGAATTTTGAGAATTCCATGGATATATTTTTCTCTGTGTGCTGAGCAGACTGGAACAGGCCATGCCCAAAGCAGCATGTGCAGTTCTGTGATGTAGATAGGAGGAATATTATGTAGGATTGGTTAACTTGTAATGGTGTCTGTGGTTTAAAGACCTGTCAAGACTTCTGATCTCTTCTCAGCCCCAGTGACAGGAAAGTTCCTGCCCTACGTGAACAAGCAGCAAAACCCACCAAAGGTGATACCAACAAAAGCTCAGACTGTGACCACTGAGTTCTCCTCTCCCCCTTTCTGTCTGCTGTGCAGCTAAAATCAGCCCTGACCTCCTCCCACCTGTATTGGTGGGAGTGCACTCAGCTCTTCTAAAAAATGTAAAATACCCCCTTAACCATTAAACTGATATCATTTGACACTTTGCAGTTTGAGGACTCCTGACATTTTCCAAAGGAGATGCCTGTCAACAGCCTCTTCTTTCCCTGGCACAGAGCCCAGGTGCTGCAGACCAGTCTGAGAGCCACTGCACACAGAGCTGTGTGCAGGGGGGATCTCTCCCCACAGCAAACAGATGCCTGCAGAACACAACACACTTAGTTCAGAGTCGTTCTGGTTCAAAGAAGACTCACACACGTTGTTGCATTTGTTGTGTGCAGCTGACCCAGTCCTGCTGCAGACAGGTGCTGCCCAGGCCATGGCAGAGCAGGGCTCTGCTGACCCACTGGAACCTCCTGTCACATCCCTGCTCTTTGCTGGGCCTTCCTCTGGCAACCTGCTCCACAGGCACTGCTGTTTGGGCAAGGGACTCACTGCTTTAAACACAGCCCCCAGTTCTGAGAAGGTGTCACAGAAAAAACAAAAGACATTCCTACACCCAGAACAGAACAGACTGTGAGTCCCATTCTCTGTGCCACAGAACTCTGCAGCCCTTTCACTGCTCTCCTTGTCTCCTTGGGCAACCACTGGGGACTGACTATAATTTAATGTTATTTCTTTGATATTCTGGCACCTCTTTGCCCTTCATCCTTTGCACCAGATTTTTTCCTGGACCCTGCAGTAGCAGCAGAGTCCTGCACTGACAATATCCACGCCTCAATCCTAGAGGGATAACTCAGGGAACACACTGGTATGTTCTGGTGCTAAACCAGAAGGAACACATCCTATGGACTCTCCATCTCACAGTGGGCCTTACCCTGAAAGCAGCACAACCTTCACTTGTCCAGAAAGAGAATAAAATCCTGAATGTGACATTATGCATGATGGAAGGGCCAGGAAGGCAAACTCCCTTAACCCATCAAACCAGGCCCTGTCTGGATTACAGCAAACCAGCAAGGAGAGGTTTTATACAACTGTTCACAGAGATAAAACACAGAAGAGTGTGAGAGAGAATCTCAAATGACTTCTACCAAAATGAGGCTCATTTTGCTGTGGCTTGTTTTCATTCTGTCTGTTTCTCAACATACATGGACAGAGAGACATTGCGAAAAATCCCAGACCCACGGAATATATTTATCCCTGTGTTAAAGCCTATCCATCTACTACCTCAGCAGAGTTTAAAATCACAGCTAATAGGTTAACAACTGTTTTTCTTCTGCTTCAGATGAAGAATATCAGAAAGCTGGGGGAATATTCGGCTTCCCAATTTGTACCGACTGCTCAGAGCTACCTGCAATGTCTGTTTGACAGGACTGACATTTTGTACCGCTGTGAGATGGGAGAACGTGTGACATTTTTATTCCTGGTGGTGTACGCCCTTGTAATGATCAGCCCTGGTCGATGTGCTTACTGCAGCAGCCCCGAGCCCTGGAGAACAAACACGAGCCCGAGGTGCCAGCAGTTTGGCTGCCTTATTAAACACCACCAGGATTCTAACGAAGAGCAACTGCTGGAAAATCTCACTGTCAAATCCTCAAGGACATTGTCAACATGGAACTAACTACATATATTTTTCATTTAAAATACTGGAAAATCCAGCAACGCAATATGAAATATAAAGAAAAAAGCCACGTTGTTTGTGCGTGTTTTCTTTTTGAACTGGTCATTTTGTCAGCTTTACACTGGCTTTCCGTGGGCCTGATGCTGGAATTCAAATCAAAGAGATCATGCAACCCACACGATTTAAAATGTTGGAAAATGGACATATTCCTTATTATCTCCTAACAGCTATTCCTCTCTAGCAAGCAGAATACTTGCACAGAATAAAAAATGACAAAAGAAGAGATGGTCTCTCATTTACCAGTTCTCTAAACAGGATGACTCTCTGCCTGGCTCAGCTTCCTCGCTCCCTGGGGCTGCCTGGTTGGGGGACACTGTCCTCACCCCCAGGGGACCTGGCTGCCCTGCCTGCACATGGCACTGCCAGCTCTGTGACTGTGCCACCAGCCCAGCTCTGGGCAGGGCCAACAGCCTGGCCCAGCCCGCAGCCACAGCAGGGTCAGCGGGTACAACCATCATATGTTTCACAGACTCTCTCCCTTTAATCTTTGGGCTTAATCCAGTGGCCCAGAGGTCAGTTCACACAGTTCTGGCCTAACTGCATGTATCAGCTTCATAAGTAATACATAAGAAGCTTCTGGATGCTGATCTACATTGGTAGAAAAGCAAGTCACCCATAAGACACTCCGAGCTCTCCTCAGTTGTCAATCTAGGTGATTTGGTTAGCCTTGCATGTACTGATGTATTTATTTTATATGCATGTATTATTTATAAAGCACAACTCTTCTTCCACATGCCAGTAGTGATGGACCAAGATACTCTCTACAAGATATTTACGGGTTCCTCAGCATAACAGGACTAACAAGGAAGCTCTGCAGACATGTTACAGCTGCTATCCCTTGTCACAGAGCCCTGGGAGGTCGCTCCAGCAGAGTGTTCCCTGCACACATCCAGTGTTCCAGCAGCTGACACAGTGTACCCAGGGCAGTACATTTATTCTGAACATCCCTGTTTAAGCAGTGCTTGAAGTACCAAGACAGTTGGAAAAGCCACAGTCTAGAATGTGCTTTTCTGAGGATGAACACACCCGCTGGGTGCAGGGCTGGGGCCGCTGCAAAGCATGAATTCCTGCACACCCCCAGGGCCACACATGGCAGCAGCAGCTGAGGAGAACACAGCGCTGGGGTGCTCGTTAGAAAGCCCTGGGCAGAGGGAGCAGGAGAGGCAGGAGCCCCTGGGCAGGCTCTGCAGCGCTGAACACCTTCCTGAGGAGCTGCCAGGGCCCCTGGGCACACATTTACACACATTCACACACATTTGCACACATTCACACACATGATGAGCGCGGGCCTTTCAGTTCATCCCTCCCGCCCCAGGATCGCCATTTCTGCCCAAAGCACAGTTCAGTCCAGTGCATTATTGTCTCATCCAATGACACTGGTTTTACTCCCCTGCCTAAGAACACTGCCCCCCAGGAACCTGATGGGACATCTGAGTGGCCTCAAGCAGACATTAGGTGGACCAGTGCTTCTGGACCACACCATGTACCTTTCTTGCAAGGTGACTCTTACTGAGCAACTGAATTCCCTCCTGAAAGGAACAGTCAAAGAAAGGAGTGGGAAGAAACGAGGGCAGAAGATATGCTTTCTGTAGACAAAAAAATTTTAAAGAACTAGGCTTATACTTTTGCTAAATCCATAAAGAACCAAATGGAGAGGGGGAGGAAACCCCATGTGGCTCCACAGAAAGGAACAGGGAGCCCACACTGCTCATCTGTGGGCAGAGGGGAAGGGAGGCTCCTGTTCCTAAGGAAGGCCCTGCTATTGCCCGAGCAGCCCGAGTGGCCAGGAGAGGAGGCTGCTCTGCAGCCAGAGCACACAGTTGCATGAATATTAGCAAATGAACTTGTTTTCCCCTTTCCCCTTTGGTTTCTACCTCAGTGCCACACAATGCCTGCTGTGATCCAGGGGAATCTGCTATTGTTCCAATGCACCTGGGTGTGAAGGGAGTCACAGGGTCTGGCAAGGGAGCCTTCCTCCCTTCCCTGCTTCATCCCTTTTACCCCAGAGATAATCCCTCCTCTGCTGCCTCTGGCCTCAGCCATCCAGTGCTGCATTCCTGGAATGTAGCTGGCTGCTGTTCTCCCATCTTCCCCCTGACCTCTTAATGCCGTTTAATCTCCTGAAGAAGAGCCCTGCCCTGCAAAGCAGAGCTGTTTGCTCTGTGTGTCCAAGTGCAGATCGTGAACAGGAAAAATGAACACATCCATTTACAGCAAATGGGACCAAAACAGCCAAGAAGATGGCAGTTTCCATATTACGGCCTGCAAAAGTTTAACAGCAGTCAGGATCAGGTGGGAAGAGAAGCTGGAGAAGCCTTTCCACACTTAGACTAAAGCTGCTTTAGTACATGAGAGTATTTTCCTTTTGTTTCATAGTTATCTACATTACCCCCAGAGCACTGACTCTCTGTAGTTTGCATCAAGAGTGGAACAGGACTGAATGTCTTCACTAAAGACATACTTCAAGAGTCTTTTGTATGTTGTTAAGCTTTACCTTTTGGTGTAAAAATGGAATAAAATATCCTATTTGCTGGTAAATAAAAACAAGCCACAGAAACATAAACACAGCTAGGCTGACAAAAGACATTCCAATTATAACAGACACAATTAGAGAACTGCACAGAACTGGCAGGATCACTTGCTTCTAATGAAATGATTCCCTTTCCCAACAAGTGATGTTTCTGGCAGCCTATCATTTGCTGGTTTAATTTTACTAGATCAGTCGTGCTCCTGACTGTGGAAAAGCTCCAGAGGGAGAACGTTCCTAAGTGTAGGTTTGCTTTTAAAGCCCCGGGGCTCCCCCCGTGTGCTCACACACCCTCTCACAGACTGGTGGGAAGACTGGGCACATCCTGTGTGATGCTGTGGGTCCTGCCAGAGGAGCCCCAACAGCTGCTTGTTTGACAAGGCATGTGTTGAGAACAGTCACAGCCTCTGTGTCGTGTTTATTCTCCAAACAGCTCAAAGATAACACAGGCAGACGTGTGCACTCTACCTAAAGAGCTGGAGTGAGGTGTGGAAACGAGGAAACATCACCTGTGTTAGTGTGTCCCTCTGCCCTGCCAATGGTCACTCCCAGTGCCTGCCCTGCCTGGCACACTGGGAAGGATCCCAAGGACAGCCCTGGCAGCTGAATGTGCACCATGTGCTCCGATGCTCTGAGTACATCTTGGCCAGTTTTTATGACAAAACCCAGAAGAAAGCAAGCAATAAGACATTTATGGAATCATTAAGGTTGTAAAAGACCTTCAAGACCATGAAGTCCAACCATGACCCAGCACCACAAGGGATGTTCTCTGTAGCATTGGGTCTTCCATAACAATTACCCTTACTTTTCCCCAAAACAGAGAGCACTATTCAGTGCTACAAACTATTCATTTGAATCTTGTCCTTGCCTTGAAAATTGTTCCCTGTTCTCCCCCCTCATTAGACCTTGAGTGGCCTGTAGAGTTCCTGGTACTTGTAGAGTACAGTTGGATTGCCCTGGAGTCCGTGGTGACAGCCCTGTGTTTGGCTGATCCAAGAGTCAACAGGAAAGGAACACCCTGGTGAAACCACAAAGCACGTGAAGGCACACCAAAGAAAAGCTGTGGTCCCACCCTCCCACTTGGTCTCCTAGTGTCTTACTAAGAACACTTAGTTTAAATCTTTATGGCACTGCCCCAGGCTATCTGGCTAAATCCTTCTTTTCACCATCAAGGAGAGCTTCCCCACAATGCCTGAGTATTACAGAAAGCACCATTAAAACAATTCCATGATAAAGAAGGCTCTCCAAGGATGCCTGATCACCACTCAACAGGATGAGCCATGACACTGGAGGATCTCACCCAGATAATTACCACTAAATTTTGGTGCACCATCAGCTGAGGTGCTGTGCCTCCAAAGGCATTTCAACATATTTTACTGATATTTTTTGTAGCCTCACAACTGCAGACACACAACTGTGTTTGGAAAGGCTTGAAAGCCCCTCACTATAGGGCGAGAGATAATGAGTTAAAATTAAAGGTTGCTGCTGGCTCCCCAGCCCATCCCCCTTTAGCTAATCTGTCATGTAATGAAGAGAAGCCCCCAGCACAGGACAGCTCGCTGCCGGCTCACTTACAGCGAGCTGATTAAGAATGTTCAACCAACAGCAGCCCGCAGACCTTTCCGAGGAAAATAAATCGAGTGTATGCAAATGTGTTTGTCACTTTGACAGCACGTCTCAATTAGAGGCGCGGCGGGCGCGGAGCTGTCCCCGCTCCGCCGGCCGGGCTGACCCGCCCCGCATCTCCAGCGCCCGTGCCAGCCCGGCACGGCCCGGCAGCGGGGACAATGGCCCGGCAGCGGGGACAATGGCCCGGCAGCGGGGACAATGGCCAGGCAGCTTTCATCCCGGGGACAATGGCCAGGCAGCTTTCATCCTGCGCCTCGCCGGGCTGCGAGCGCACAAACAGCCCCAGCGCCGACGCTCGCGGCTCTTTAATTGTTCCCACCTTCTGCATTCCAGGCAGCGGTACAAGTGACACTAAAATCGCTGCCTTTAATCACGAGGTAGAAGCCATCTCCCATTTAACCAGTAAATGCTGCTGCTTTTTTTTTCCTCCCCGAAGCCTTAATCTATATTTCATAAACCCGAACATCTTTTCCTTTCCAATGGAAGTGTGGTTGCATTTTCGTTTGGCACCGGGCTACCAGGCAGAGCCGAGCCGAGCCAGGACAAAGGCTGGCAGGGGGAGAGCCCTACAACTGCTAAGTCAGATCAGTTTTGGGAGCCCAACACTTGTAATGCAATGACAGCAATAAGCATTTGGCCAGCGAGCCTCTCACCACAGCCAGGGGCCGGCGGAGCTGATGTTTCTTCTGACACACAGAAAGGGATCGTTAAAAAATTTGAAAGTGACTGTTAGGAAACCTCATGAATTTAAAATTGCACTTACCACTCAAATATATATTTCCTTAATCTACCAAAATGTTTGAACCAGCCATCCCTCATAAAAATCTAAAGGAAAAACTGAAAATAAATTGTAATATTATCTGATTTCTGACTGCTTCAAATGAAATGTAACATGTCCCTGCTGGAGCTAGATGGCTGCATTCCTCCAGTAGCCCCAATTCCTCTCAACTGTATTGGCACAGAAAGTAAGGGAAAAATAAATCACTACTGCAAATACTTAATTGGAAGAGAATCTGCCTTACAAAAAGTCTTCGAGAACTTACATTTAGCACAGTGGTGAAAGTTCTGAAAGAAATAAATCTATTTCTAAAATGATACAGACAACACTGCTCTGAGCACTGATCATCTCATGTAGCCCTAATACCTGAACAGTCAGTGCAGTCACTGGTTTCTATTCATAGATATTTCTCTAAAAATCCCAATTTATAATGTTGTTTTACAATTGCTTGCAAATTACACTTTGCTTCCTTAGAAGAAATCAGCTACTCCTTCCTGTTTTCTGATCAGAACAGTGCAAAGAATAGATACAGGAAAAGAAAAGAGAACTCTAAACACAAATCATGTTATTTTTGGAGTCAGGCTACACTTAATAGGGGAATACTGGCAAACTGATAATAAATACTGTATGTTTTTCCATGAAAATCACAGAAACTACAACATTTTCTAAATAACTAGCTCTTAAAAACCCCACACCAACTCACTGTTTTGCAGACATATCAAAAGAAACATTACACGAGTAACTAATGTGAACAGCTCAGCTGTCAATACCAAATACAGAGTACACTAACAAGCTATTAATTGATTTTTCCATCTTAGTTCATCGCATTTAATTTTCAGAGACTGTTCAAATGCTTTAATAGTTGGATGTTCCATATTGACACTAATGATCTGGCAAGATAACAGAGGACATTTTAAATTCTACGCCCTCAGTCCTGAGGGCTGTAGCTCTTTGCAAGCTGAAAGAACCACAAAATACTTTATAAAATTGCTTTAATAATTATGCTTCACCCCCCATTCACTTCAAATTTCTTTTCCTCAAAATCATCGTATGAACAAAAGGAATCAAGAAACCCCAGAAAAATCAGGTTTTGGACTCTCATTTAAACAAATGCAGCAGGAATAAAGCTATGATAACATAATTCAGCGAGTGGAAATAATGAAACGATTGGCATCTTCGTTACTGTGATTTTTCTCTGAACTGGTTTTGCTGAGTCACACAATTTAAAGAGACCTGACGCTGAGACCTACCTGCCCAAAATGTACTGTGATTGGTCTTCTGTCCTCTCTTAATTTAGGGTCCTTCTTCTCCCCCAGTGGTGAGGGTGCTGTCCTGGGCAGGGACTCCTCCGGCACGGCCGAGCACCCGTTCTCAGCAATGTCCTGCGTGGTAGGAAAAGGTGAATAGCATGGCCAGGAACACTCTTGAGTGAGGGCAAGGTGCACAAAGGACACACTAGAGGAGAATGCTGACTAACAATTTGGATGTCAGGGGAGAAAAAACACCAAAGTACAGAAAAGAAAACATCATTAGAATAAAACATGTCATTGCAGTTCGGCCATCAGAGCTTGTACACAATCCCTCTCTCCTCCCAGTGCCAGTGGTGCAAACAGGGACAGTCAACAAAACGTCTGACCTGGACACGCAAAAGCCAGGAAATGCACGTGGAGGAAAAAACCATAGCTCAGATTTGCTATTTTAGCAACGAATTCAACAGAAGCCCAGGAACAGGGTATTCTGCTTTTTGTAAAGCTAAATGAACACGGTAATTCCATTTACGTACTGCACAGAATTAGCCATAGCAGAACAATTACTGGTGGAAGTGGCAAGGAGAGATGGAACTCAGAGCTTAGTTAGCTTTCATTTCATCTTCGAGCCTGTGTGGACTGAATGTGCCTCCAGGAGAGTGTACACCACCAACTGCTGCCTCACAGAAGGCTTTTGTGTTTGCTTTGACATCAGTCCTCTTCTCCAGAAGTGAGGTGACCCACCAGCCTAGGTTAGAGGACTTGGCAAGTGCAGGCACGGGGTACGTAACACGGGTTTTGAACAAGACAAAGGCCCGCAGACACCAGGAATCAGACAAGGAGCAAAGAGTTTGAAAGTGAGTTGAGAAAGAGTCTGCAGCGCAGTGGGGCCCAAAGCTTTACATCTCTGCAACAATGCCAGGGAAATAATGGCGGGTAAATATCGAGAGGAGGCTGCACAGGCTGGGGCTCGGCAAGGCCGACCTAAGGGTGGCTGCTGACACCGGCAGCTTTGATTGCTGACCTCCGGCCCGGCCGCGGCCCCGCGCGCGCAGGTACAATAATGAGCCGTGTGGGCTGATGGCCAATTAGAAACGGTGCCTTTGGACACACACTGACCTAATGTGTTTAGGTCAAATGAAACAAAAAGCTCGATGGACTTTCTAAGGGGCTTTGTCTGCTCCACAGAGAAGCTGAGACCCCTCTTTAGATCCAGCTGGTAGAGCAGTGGTTCCCCAATATGAGCATAAGGATCGTGGGGAATTAACAACTTGCTAAGGTCAAACTGGAGAGAAAAACTTTTTCCTCCCCCTGCCCTCTGGCTCCACAATGGCACCTTGTCTTTAAAAAGTACAGCAAAGTCCACGGAATTAGTAACAAAGAGCCCCAAAACAATGCAATGACAAGAAATGTGTCTGTCAAACTCATCCTGCAGCTCCCAACAAGCCACCAAGGGGTCTGCTCAGTTCTGGACTCACAGAACCCATGGCAGCACCACAGACTGCAATGACATCACACACAACCTTTATTCCCACATTTCTGTGCAAGTGGAGCCATATGAAATGTGCCCCAGAGCTGCCCAAGCCCAAGCACCTGACCTGCTCTGCGAGGGGCTGTGCCCAGCCCTGCAGAGGGGCCAGAGCAGGGGCTCCAACCAAGGGATGGACAGCTGGGTCACATCTGAGTTACATAAAGAGTGAAACACGATATTAAATGCCCAAAATAAGGCCTCCCAATAGCATAAAAATTATGAAATGTCAAAGCATCTGGCACTTCTACAATTGGAAAGGAAACAACAGTCCTTTAGAACACTGGCAGACCTGGGATTGGCACCTGATTGGTATAAGCCAGTAAGACATTCCTGAAGTAGCTTAAATCATATATGTTATTCATGATAACAACAAGAACCATGAGATCTCTCCCTCCCAAAAACTGGGAAAAAATGGAAGGTCAAAGTTACTCATTGCTGGAACAAATTCTCCAGGAATACAAAAATCTAGCAATGTTTCAGTGACTTTTAACAGAAAGAAGTGTAATTTAAGGGTATTATTAAAACCAAAACCATCTTTTGTCTGAGGAAAGAAGACACTCGACAGATCAGCAGAAAAAGAGAATGACAGTGATCTATCACACTCCAAAATGATCTCCTGGACACCTCCACGAGAAGTGCTTCCCCCAACAACTGTCTATTCAGGTGAGATCTTTCCTACCTATTTATTTTAAAGGAGAAACTTCAGAGAAGGAGACATTCTGTTTAAATATGCATCAGCAGTTTTTCCAGGGGACTTTTACAAACACTCCAAACACTGGCTCTAGAGGAGCAAACCCCATTCTGAACCTGTCCTGGTGCAGGTTGTTCTGTAAAGCTCTACATGAGCTGTTTCTACAATACCAGCCCTTAGCCAGAGCCACACAGGGCTCTATAACTAAAATAATGTCGAATACATTAATGCCAAGTGCCCAACCATTTATAGAAATTGTCTTAGCCAGAGCCCTCAGTAAGTTCCATTCTCCTGGCTGAAAGTTGAGGATGGTACCATTCATATTCCTCCTTCTTCCTAATTCTATGTAGTTAAGCTTCAAATGAGCCACTAACAGAGAGACTCGACCACCACGGTCCATTTGTGAGATGGAAAAAGGCAGCCTTTGCCAAAAAAAAAAAAAGGGGGGGGGGAAAAAAAAAAAAAAAAAGGGAAAAAAAAAAAGAAAAAAAGAACTGTATCAGATATAAAATAAAGCTACCAGGCTGTATCTATTAACAATTATTTGCTCTCACTCATAAGAATCCTCTGAAACTGATTTCTGTTGCTTTGAAATACTGCACCACAAATGAACAAGGGATGGAAATGGAGCCCCATTCAATCTCCACTATCATATTAAAGAAGGACCTTACACACACCACAGTGACCTCTCAACAGGTCAATCCTGCATTTCTCATTTGCAATTCAAACCCAACACTGGAGCAGACCAAGGGCAAAATGGGCTCTTGATTATATTTAAGAGGTCACCATTGCTATGCAGAGTTGGAGGAAGCAGACCTCCAGCTTTATTGCATTTTTAAATTCTATCTTGTACAGAAGCTGCTCAGATTTGGCAGTGAAAACTGGAAAAGGGATGTTTATATTTGACTTTTCTTTACCAGGGGCCTGCATACTTTCTGTATTAATAATGGAAAATAGTATGTTAAAATGCAGTGGATAGTAAGTTCAGTTTAAAAATAACCTTAGGTTACCCTTAGAAGATGAAAGACTAGCATCCCAAATTTGGCAAAAATGAAGTACTTAATGATGCCAGAATGTCAAACAGTTAACACTTGCACATGCCAGTAAGTAAACACATGAGGAATACCATGTTCTCAGATGAAAATTGGGGAGGATGCTTTAACAGACTTGTGCATAATAGACTCATAATGGAGCAGCACAGACATTTAGATTAAAAATGAGGGTGACCAAAACAATTTTTGCTATTTTTATCACTTTCAAGAGAGCAGTCCCTAATTTTAGAGTTACCTTACTGGTGCATTCACATGGAGAAGAGGATGGGATAGAAAAGGAGAGAATAATGAAGGAAGGGGAGGTAGAGCAGTGTGTGCCAACTACTCACAGCAATCTTTTAAGCTCTTGTGAAAGCCTATGTCGAACAATCATGTTTCACCACCTCACTTACAGGAACACCACATAATAAGGAAGGTGAAACAAAACTGGGCCATTTAGTTGTAAATGTTCTGTGTGTTTTTTAAAAGGAAGCCAGTGGCTTGACAGACCAGGAGGACAACAACCTTAATAAAACAAAGCAGTGACCGAATGAGGCTTTGCTCAGCCTGGCACACAAATGTCACACAACAGCACACAATTCTATTAGCATTTAAAATACAGGAAAAAATCTGGTCGTGTTACACAGCTCCAACTGCTTCAGAAATGCACAGGAGAAGGCCAAAGATTTTATTATTCATGAAGGTTGTGTCCAGAAATGAAACACATGGAATGGCATAAAAAAAAAAGCATATACAAGACAACTGCTTCATGTTTCTATTATTCTCAAATTATACCTAAAATGGTTGCACATAATGTAGTGCAATAAAATAAAATGGCATTAAAAGCATCTGAAGCAACTTTCTCTTGCTCCAGACTCTCAGCAATGTGCTGGAATATTCAGATGAGCAGCAGCTGCAGTGCAGCCAGAGGTAACTCCTGCTCGAGCCGGCACAGCAATCCCTGGGCAGGAGCAGGGTGGCTCAGGGGCAGTGGTGGCTGTGCCAGCAGGGCACCTGCAGCCCTGCCCCAACATGGGGGGCTAGAAAGGGAGAGGGGAACTCACACAGATAGCACAGATTAAACCCACCCAAACTATCATGCAGCAAATGGAATAAAACTGTCTGAATGCTCTCAGCAGGTCAGCTGTCCTGTCTCCCCACAGGACTCTGAGCCACAGAATAAACAGAATATCTGCAGTGAACCCAAGGCACAGTCACCCACCCATCCATAAGGTGAGAGGCAACTTCTGGCTTAAAAGGAGCAATTAGGATTGGATAACACATCCTTCAAACACAACTGAGCATTTTTGGAATTGTGCTCTTCACAAACAAACAAACAAACACGGATTTGGAAAACAACACTGTCAGTACTTTTTCCTGCAATAATTCCAATTGGAAATGAACCCCAACTCTCATCAACTCCTTCTCTCTGAACTCTGCAGGAGACTCTCCTGACACACAGGACCCCCCTTCCCAGTGGCAGACAGACAGGACACCGTGTTTCCTGATCACTGTAAGAACACCACCAGTGAACACAGCTCCCGGCTCTCCTGCACTCCCAGCACGAGGGGCAGGAGTGGGCCCTCTCCAAACACAACATTGCATTTTCTGGCTTTTGTGGGTTGAAGTCAGAGCCTTAATGTATTTGAAGACAATTTTTTTTTTTGTCTGTGAATATTTATAACTGGGAAAAATCCGGGACAGCTGGTAATGCATTTTGAAGTGTGCTAACAACACTGTATCAAACAGCTTCCTATTGATCACATCGTGCTCTCAGTGGCTAAGGATTTCAGACGTGGTGCTTATACATTTTGAATAAGAACTTCAAGTACCTTTTGCTTCAAGCGGTTTTTCACTTCTTTTATTCCCATTTTCGCATGATCTTTTGCCTGCATGAAAAATTAATTTAAGTTAAAATCCCCATCTATTTCCAGTGGTGACTAAGTTTGATTTCGGTTACTAAAGATGGCAACAAAAAAATACAACAGGATACTGAAAACACATTAAAACAAACAGAAAGCTAAAAAGACCCCAAACAAATAAAACCCACCCCTGCTGCAAAAATTTTGTTTTCCCTGTTTTGATGCCATACACATCTTTCATCTTTTTGCATTCCACACCCTCAGTGTTCTCCTCTAAGTATTTTTCTTTGCTATAAACTCATATTCTCCAATATCAGCAGTGAGCCTGCAAACCCTCTCCTTGCAGGGCTCTGGATGCCAGTTTAGTAGAGCCATTCTCATCCTACTCATCTTTCTCAGGCTGCAGGAAGGCAGGAGAAAACCAAAGTCTGGCTAGTTATCTCGATGATTTATGTAGCATTATTTCCTAAAATTGAGCACATAAGAAATGCTCAGTTGTTTCTCCATTGTTTGATCTTGCAGAGTGGAGCTGGCAGCCACACACGACAGCACAGCAACACACCAGCTGTTTGTTAACAGGACTGAAAACATTGCCATTGAAAGAATAACTCAGTAAGCTGGAGTCTAAATGAGCAGGTATAAGAAATCTCTGGGGAAAATTAATTGACATTTAGAAAAGATGGAAACAATTTGGAAAATGAGAGGATTCCCTTCTTTCGATGAAGTGCAAGCAGGGAAACCTGAGGTAACAATGATTTCCAACAGAGCAATGATGAGATGGTAGAGCTGCTTAGCAGAGCACACAGGCACCATTTCCCAGAAAGAGTTCTGAGTAATAAATAGAATTTATCATCTATACTTTCAAAAGAAATCACAAGTTTCCATTCTCCTTTGCATTTCAAAATGACTTTTCCATTTCAATCTGAAATTTAGATGAATGTGTATTTTAAGTAATTTTGTGAGTCCAATAAAAATGCATGTAAGTGTTGAGTCTCATTGGGAAGGTTAAACCAGAATCATAATTAGACTCTTATCTCAGTAGTAAGCCAGTACTCAATACTTACAAACTTATAGACAGTCTTCATGGCAGGGTTAGCCTTGGTCTTTACTGTGTTTAAAATGGCTCCACTTCCTTTCTATAATCACAGTAACAAGAGAAGAAATGTTATCAAAGCTCTTTAAAGCAAACAGCGACCCAAACCCCACCATTTGTAAAGTAACCAAGCATTAACTGTGCTTATTAGCAGAGCTGAGCATTCCAGTGGCAAAACTGAAGCAAAAGACAAGAGCACAACCACCTGAGTGTTTCTCTGGTTCTTCCCAACTCTGTTCAATCCAGCAGTTCCCCAAGGAAAAGGTGTCAGTGTCTCCCTAGAGTCCTCCTCTCACAGTTTGTTTCACAAACCCTCAGGGGGTCCTGCTCACTCCACTAAAATCCTAAACAAGTTCAAGGCAAAAGTATCCTAACAAATGTCTGGGGCAGGAAATTCCCTTTCAGGAAAGCCTGTGCAAGCAAGCTGACGAGCTGAGATCTTTTTTGTGTTCCCATTTTCCCTTCCCTCAGCCCACAGTCCTGTTTATCACACACACGCTGCCTTTTTAAGATCCAAGTAGCTGGTAAAGGGATAAATTGAGGGAAAATGAAACCTAACTACAGTCATAAACACTAATTCTAGAAAAAGCTGAATTGCATGTGGTGAATATAATCAAAGTAATGAGGCAGTAATGCATCAGCAGAATCATCTGTTCGTCTGGTTTTGTACCCCTTCCACACACCACTGACTACTGCTGGACAGCAAGAGCCAAGCAAGAAAACCTTGGCTAATTTTAGATTTTCTACTTTCAGTGCAAAATTATATTTCCAGAGATCAGGTTTGATTATGTGCAATCAGATTCAAGCAGCTTTAAGATTTACTACCTCAGTTACTTCACGACAATTAATCTTCAACAAAAATTATAAACTGTTGAATTTAATCACACTAATTTTTATATTCACTCTCAGGCATTACCCTTTCTTATAATGTTAAAATTACCTGTCATCCTACGCATTTATATATATTTATGTATATTTATTTACCTACCTAACCATACAATGGAATTTTTAAAAATTACTGCTACAAAATATGTGTAATTCAAACTCATCTGGATTATATTGAGCCCAGCACTTTGTGTAAGGAATATAATTCCATTCACAAGCAGGACAGGAGTAGATGGAGTGCTGCAACACTCAGTTCTGCCAGAAAAAAAACCCCCAAACAATCTTTTCTATTGACTCATGCTGATAAACCTGAAATATTTTACTTTTCAATACACCACATTTTAGGCATCGAAAGAAGCTTTTAATATCCACTACAACAACTTATTATTCTCTAAAAGTATTTACACTTTTAATTTATACATTTGGCACATTTATAACTTGGCACCAGACCAGAGATGCAAACCCCACCCCAAACAGTGGTGCCCCCATTCAACACTTCACACCATTCAGCTTCATCCAGAATTTTTTGGTGTGACAATGTTTTCCTCAGAGCTGAGCAAACGAGAACTGAGGTGTCTGCTGGAAGGATCGTGTCCTTACCCTCACTGTGGAGAGCCACTGGTGGTACAGTTTGTCACTACCTGGAGAGAATCACAGACACAAACAAACAAATTAACTCTGTGCAACAGGAAACAAGCTCAAAACTTGAAGTGCTGGCACTCGGTGGTTCTGGGAGCAGGGACAGAACAGGACACCCAGACTTCTCTTTCAGGGAGACAGAACAACAAAACATCGAGGAGAGATTTAAACTTTTCTATTTTCTGTGTTGTCTCAGACATTTGAGAACACTGGGATTTTTTTAAGATCACTAAGAAATATGAGGTGGTTCTGAGTAAAGCCAAGGGTTTTTCTCCACTGCAAGGACTCTTTTAGTTGTACTTTATTCAAGTGGTAAAGCTGAGGTTTTCTAAGACTGAACAAGCTTTATTCAAACTATAATACATTATTCTAAGTTCTTGACAGAGGAAAGAACAACAATTTAAGACACTTCAGGCTACCAGGATCACTGAGCCTCAGCTATTTACCAACAGCAATGACCAATTACCTCCTGATGGCCCACAGAGGGTGGGTCAACAGCAGTGTCCCAAATTCCCTTAACAGCCCATTTCCTACCTGCGTATTCCCCCGCGTTGATCTCCTCCTCGAACACGTCACTGAAGCCCTCCCCGGAGTTCAGCAGGTCCAGGCGCCCATCGATGAACTGCAGCAGAGGGAAAGGAGAGCACAAACATCACCCACCCCAAAGGAGAGCACAAACATC